ATTCTTGGCTGATCCCGAATTCCAATTAATCTTTGATCGCAGCTCAAAATAATTCTAGAAATGCAGATGCTATTATTGGAATCCATATTTTTCTAGGCAGCATTCCGACATCTATGAATCCCCCTGGGACGTCATTCAAAATTCCATGAAATTTTTAAATTTCTCCTTGGTATGGGTGGATCTCCAGAATGGGCAAAGACGTCCCTTGGGCCTCTTGCTTCAGCCTTGCTCTTCTTCGATGCAGCAGGAACTGCTTAACTGCATTAAAGTTATTAGCAGGCCTAGTTATGGCAAATCAAGGCCGCTCGACCCTTTGGCCCAAATATGAGTCAAAAAGGCCTGGCGATACGATCCACCCCAAAACGGACAGTTTTTATGCTACGTACTTGCCCTAAAGACGCCCCTCGCCTTGGTGGTTTCCTCGCTGCAAAGGCGATATTTCCGCATGAACGGTAACAAGGGCAGTAATTCGCTCTGTGTCCCGATATTTAATCGAGACAAGGCGATGTCTACGCTCCAAAACAAGTACCCATAAAAACAAATTTTAGAAACATACAAAGGCATTTCACCATTTCCACCGACAAAAAAGGCGAGGAAGATCGTACATAAGCCCTAGTAGTAATAGATGAAATTTACCAGGATCGTGGGTGATGACATCTCTCTAGGAAGCTTCTCGGTCATGAAGAACAAGAAAATACCCCGTACAGTTAGAAAGGTTCTTTTGCAAAATCGCCACCTTGGCAGAAATTCACATACAACGTGCAGCCGAGACCTAACAAAATTAGGCGGAGCACTCCACAATGGGCGTGGCTTCTCACACTGATCGATTTCAGCCCACTTCACTTAATTAATTCGGGCGTTTTAGGAATTCATAAATATCTTAGCTAATTCGAGCGTTTTAGGAATTCATAAATGTCCAGACCCCGGCTATTTCACGGCCCAATCGAAGCCTCTCGTGGGCATTTTTTGCCATACATAGGAAATCCTGACAGGGCACGCCTGCGAGTGTAGACAACAACTTGCGTCAACGCCCAAGCGGATCAACGACCATCCTCTTGACGGCGGCGAAATCCGATACCCTGCCGTCGTGTGTCAAACAACGAAGTGGACGGAGGTGAGAAGTCGAACAAAAAAAGCGTTTACAACCTCTAAAAACTTTTGCTCTTTCTAAAGACCATTTTCTTACGTATTGCACTTTCGCAATGGGATTTGGAGAGGTGCCATGTCAATAGCGGAACTCTGACGCCACCCACTCCCGGATGACGCCAATGTCCTACATCGGGACACTGCACTTCTCCTAAATGACGTATTTCAGAGTCGTCGTGGTTCAGGAAACGTTGCCCTGCCGTCGAGTTCGATACATTAACTTCCCAATTGGAACGCTTTGCTTGCCATGTCCGCTAACAGTACTCCACCACATTACGTAGAACAAGCTGTCCTCTTCCTCAATCTGCGACTAACCCATCACCGAATAGTATAGCTGTGAACTCCGTACATCGAATCAGCTCATGCGAATGAATAATCGGCTATGATCGATTTCTATGGAGTGCCATAATCGCTACAAATCCTTTACACGCTATTGGAATAATGCCGAAGCTAAGCCGGCCGCTCCCTGCTCTTCAAGTCTGCTGTGATTGATGGATGGGTCTAGGAAGAGTAAGCATTCATCAGCCAAAGATAGAAGCCAGTCTAGCGCGAGGCATCTACTCTGACCACCTTGCAATCTCAGAATCGCGATTGCCCAAAATTGTTAATTCTTCGAGGTTTTGAAGGTATATTGTACTCCTGAACGTCATAGTACGAAGCGACTGTGAGGTCGTGTCCAAGATTTTGGGTTATCCATTGTCACGGTGACAGAAGCTTCGATTAAAACTGTTATAGACAGAAATCAGAAATGTCCCCCTACGTTCCCCGATGAACACGGGCGGTAGTAAACGTGGCTTCTAAAAGGAGCACCAGCCAATCGATGTGTATGACGACAGCTCTAGAAAGTGCAGCTGTGCAGTGGGCTTCTGAATATTCACATCCTTCAAACACAGAGATACGATGTTGTCTGGCGAATATTCTGGCACTATTCGATCCATTCTCCGATTTACGCCACGAACTCGACGTCCGACTAGAACTGTTGCAGCATTTGGAAGCGAATTTGACCTGACTCGACTCGAGATTCGACCCGGAATAAGCAAAGGGTTCGGTGAAGTGTTTAGGTAATGCATCCTACTTGTCTTAGAGATAGCCAGTCCCTTGCAAACAATGGTTGTGCACATCCGGCGAAAGACGGTCACAAGTAGGACTTTTTGATTGTTCACAGAACGAAACCGGCCAAGGAGAAGCGACTATAAACGAGGTAGGCGACAACCTCCAGGAAGGAATGCCGTGCCTGCTCCAGCTACGATCACGACAAAAAAGAAGACCTGTCTACGTGGAAATCGCTACAAATGGCCTCCACTCGTTTCTTCAGGTGGTCGTAGCCGCTGCTGAGCGGTCGTTAGCTAGCGCTTCATGACTATAATCATATACTGGGTCGCTAATAACTCGTTTTGACTTCACAAAGGCCCTTCACAAAGTGGGAGTAGGCAGAACGACTTCACGACTACCACCTTTTGAAATAATGGTCATCCCAATTGATCTTTCGAGCTGCCTGACTTGATGGCTCCGCTCCGAAAACAGCATATATTCGACTTCTGTTCCGAAAACTATAAACGACCGAAGGATTCAGGCTGTAGGGTTATTATAGAACGAAAAAAGTAAAGCGAAGGCATCAGACACCATACACACGAAGTGCCATGAACCCATCTCATAATATGGGACATGGAAACGATTGGAAGGTCTTATTTTGTATTAGGGGACGAGAAAACAAGCTCATCCCGTTCTTATGTGCCACTATCAGTCCTGTCCCTTCATGCGTGGAGATTAGGTAGCGCTAGACTGATCATCTACGCATGAGCGAATATAAATAGAAACAAAACCCTGCGGATCCATGCGCCCACATCCGAATGGGTGGCCGTTCGCCCTTCGTAGTCGCTACCCAAATACCCAAATGGGAATCGAATTGATTGTGAACCAAATGTCCTTAAGAATGTTTTGTTTTTCCTGTTCCTCTCGTATCCACTACGATAAAGACTTAACCTGGAGCAGGATTGAACCCGTAACTGAACTACGAGAGCAGTGCCTTGACACGGTGAGCTTTGAAACAGCACGCATGAAGTGGATCGTACAGAAAAGTCATGTACGAAACCATGGGAAGATGAAAGGTGAATATAAGTAGAAAAAGGGTACTGTAAATCGAATTGATAGGCATTAACGGCTTCCCTTCCAGTGATTCCATTAATGCTCCAATGCCATGGAAACGTCGTTTTCAGGAAATCAGCACTTTACAACTAATTACATTACGTCTAGGTGAGAGTATAGTAGTGTAAAATGAACAATATCTTTTTAGGACACATTATCAGCTCAGGGGATAAGACGAAAGGTAATTAAAAGGAAGAAGTGGTAAACAACGTTGTTTACCAATGATTTTCAAAAGAGCAGAGGTGTGAAAGTAAAATGCGGTAGTGGAAAAGGGCTCCGTAAAAAGAGAGTTCATCTAACAAAAAGTTTGTTTTCTCTACAGTTCATTTACATTTATTTATTTACTTATTCATTTATTTTTCATCAAAGCTATTTGTTAATATAGTTACTCTACTGCCCATATTATTGGCTACTGTTATTCATGTCTTCATTAGTTTTAGTATAGTTTCGTATATAAATATTCTATTATCCGAACGAAAACTCGCTGCTGGAGCAGTGGCCAAATAAATAAGGAAATAAATGAATAAATAACGAAATAAACAGACAAATAATAGTGAATACCAGATAGCACGTGGATTGATCTGATGTTGTTTGTCTTTCTTTTGTTTTCCTCCAGACAATAAGGAAACTTAATTGTTTTTCGGAGTACCCAATAAGTAACCAGATAGTAAACATCGTCTTCAGCTGGTCCAATTTTTTTCAGGGCTTATTCGCCAGGAAGACAGAGCTAAAGTGAAGCATTTCCTAGAGGTCGAATCAAAAATGCTTAAAACTGATGTCCTTTGAACTTCTAAAGCAGTGGTGAAAACGAGTTAAAGGTAAGCATTACTCAAAAGCTACAGAAAGAAAATGAAGTTGGTTCACAGGTTGTTCACGGCTGTGGAATTCAGTGTCATGATTTTTCCCCAGATTCTACCTTACTTGATGTCATGTCCCATATGTAAAGGTCGGCCTGAAGGAGGTTACTTACCCTATTCCCAACACCCTTCTAATTATTTAAACTTGCAACTTTACTACAATATTCCTATCATTACCATTCATCTAGGCCTGAATCTGACCTACTAGAAACTTCTTTTAGGCTGCGAATCCGTTCGTGTCAGATGAATTCATTAGCATAAATAAAAGCGAATGTGGCGTGACACAAGAAGAAGCTGTGTTCCACGGAAAGGAGTACTGAAGTAGTACGGAAAGGAGTAGTAGAATTGAANTAGAAACTTCTTTTAGGCTGCGAATCCGTTCGTGTCAGATGAATTCATTAGCATAAATAGAAGCGAATGTGGCGTGACACAAGAAGAAGTTGTGTTCCACGGAAAGGAGTACGAATTGAAGGACACGTGCTTATGGGTAAGAGTTTGAATAAGTAGTCCTGAACAGGTGAGCCTATTGTCCCCATGTCGTCAAGAATAGCTTGTGCTGGAACTTACTGAAAATCTACTTGAAAGCTAAAGTCCAGCAGTTCTAAAAGTGCAGTACTCAAAAATAGTTGGCGAGCAACACCCCAAGTCGTAGGTGGTCCATGTTATAGCGTATGCCTCCTACGGGTTCCATGACATACTCAGGAAACCTTTTCGTTCAAAAAAAGGCCAGGATAAGGCGATGTTGAGAAAGCTACCGTTCAAATCAATAAATCGATTGAATGGGTTGAACATGGAGACTACATTTCAAAGGAAGGAAACAAGAACAGGAGAAAAAAAGTTGATGAGGCACTTATGCTTGAGCTTCTTTATCTTGGAAGAGACGAAGGTTCGCAAATCGGTATGCCCTGTGAGATTAAGCCATGCACTGGACATCGGCTGTGAAATTTTGTATTTTGATTGTACAGCGATAGTAGACCAATATAGCCTCAGCCGAACCAGCTTAGGTTCGAACTAGGGCGAGATGCTTGAGCAACTCCAGATATAGACAAAGAATCGAACTGACGATAGGAGGCTATAATGATGGCCGAAGCCCCTCAGCTTTCAAAGATGTAAAACAGAAAAAATGGCTCGGAGCGAATCGAACTGGGCAACGAATACGGACGCCTGTTCTCTGAGGCGCCTCATAAGTCACTGCAGCGATGGATTGGTGCCGCTTCTACGTCAGAGAACATTCGATGCCGGCTCGTTTGACGCCCACTTGACCGCCATTTCAGAAAAAAACCTCAAACAAAACCCCGAAGCAGATGGGGTATACGGTAATCGGGAACTTAAGATTGATGGGATGTAGATGAAACAGTGAGAAATCGAAGATATAATTGCTTTAACGTGATAGGGTAAGAGTAGTCAACGTAAGCGACGACGTTCCCGATAGACTGCCGTGGATGGGCGGAGCTTGAGGCGAACACGATGGGAGGGGCGAATGAGGCGAAGAAGCAAAAGTGCATCGCTCCGGCATTGACGATGGCCCGAACGTGACGCTGAAGATAATTTGTAGGATTCCCGGAACAAAAAAGGCTTTCTTAGAGTTCGCCTTACGCAGACGACTTCCTGTCGAATGGGAATAGAAGCCGAGCAGACAATTCAAGTAGCAGTCGGGTAAAACAAAGTTGGAAAGGACTTTTTGAGTGTTCCAGCAAATTATGGCGAGCCCAGAGCTCCTTAATAGCTTTTGCAGCTTGAGCAAAATTAAGCTGAGGATAAGCTCGGCTATCGCTATCTGTTCCCCTATGCTCCATGGCGAGAAGGGGCGCCTGAGCGTAGGGAAGCTACCAACTGAGACGCTGCAAACGACGGTGGACCGCCAACAGACATATTTTTTTGATATTAAGATGATCCTAGTAGATAAAGAGATAGAAAACGACACAAAGCTTGAACAAGGGAAGGGAAGATGGACCAAGTTCCATGCCGGAGAGGGCCCCCTACCCACCTCATATTGTAAAGTTGTCAGTTCGATGGCAGTGCTGGAACTGGAGGCCGGTGATTGTTATGCCACAAAAAAGGGGCCGCTTATGGAAAAAAGTTTCCGGCAACGTTGGAAAAGTTCAACTGAATGCCGCTACGATAAAAAAGTTCCACAAAACTTCCTAGAGGCAACAGAAAGTCGACAGATTGACAAAGGTGGTGTCACCGGATAAGTAGATTATAAAAAATAGAACAAAAATGGAAAAATTGAAAAAATAGGAAGCTGGGCCTACAAATCCGTCCATATCCGTGTACCTCATAGACATGCTTCCCTTCCTTTCCAAATTGTTGTGAAAAGCAGAAAAAGCCGATTATACAACTTAAAGGGACCTAAAAAGGCTGCGACGTCCACTCCGATGTAACAGAGGGCTAGGCGACACACAAAACGAACAAAAACTCGCCATTTGTCACGAAGAATGGGGGTCTAGAATGGCTAAGCGACTAATTGACGCCAATTGTAGCCAATCAGTAGTGTACGTAGTATAGTCCTATTCATGTATGTATACATAGTAACAAATCTCCTGTAACACAAGTGTATGTTGCCACATGATGCCAGCTGATCACACATTGCCACAATAATTAAAAACCGTTACATTGGACTGAAAAAAGCAGAGCAGGTGTTCGTCTGGAATAGATTGCTCAGGGAAACTGCATCAACCGGGGAGGTTTTGTACTGACTCGAAACCAAGGTCTACCTAATGATACCCATCCGCAGGTAGACCTTGGTAAGGCTAACCTGAGATTCAAGGTGGCGACGGAGAGTGGCCACGTTCGCCAAAAAGCAAAAGGCCACTGACGTGCGTCGGTGGGGTCGATTTCTCGGTTAAGACTTTCCCTCGACTGAGTCCCGCTAAAAGCATTCAAAAAAGCGCTCTCAGTGTCTAACCTGCAACTGCAGAAGATGGTTAGGCTAGGAAAAAGTTGCTGAATATATCAAATTGGGTCGTAAGGTCCAGATAGGATAGCTAGGTTCGAATCATTGGTTGTATAACGTTTTAGACCTGCTAGATACATTATTATGAACTGAAAGCCCCAGTCCCTGTTCAGCTGACTAGACCGAATTGGGGCAACCGGAAAAAGCCAAAAAAGGAGCTAACTCTAGCAGTCCCCTCTGAAGCTCACCAACATGTCGTGACAGTCCTGACTACTGGTTTTGGGTAAATAATCTGTTTTCCTTCTATTTTTAGTTTTTTTTTTATTAGGAATCTTAAACTTTCAGGTGATTGCCAGGGCATAAGCGAAGAAGAGAGAGATATTACGGAGGCCTCTACAAAGCTTATTAGGTCCTAGGGGTTGTCTCCCCATCTTCATGAGTGCTAGTTAAGCTGTTAAGAGGCTTGCCGGGTCTTGATGCATATGCCCTTGTGCGTTCGTGCACTTGTTGGCATGTCACTTATCACTTCAATAACAAAAGGCTTACGATCTTCAGGCAGAAATAGTCACTCAAATAGCTAGCTAGAACGGTTCTTTCTTCACAGGACCCTTCACCGCATATTGGGTCGAACTTGAGGGAAGATTTCAGCGCAAAAGTGACGTTTTAGTTTTTGAAAATGGTTTCAGCATCAATCTGCAGCAGATGCCCCATAATTTCTTTGCGAGACATTTTTCATGTGGGGGGAAATGTAATACATCCTGAAGCAATGACGCATATTACAGCATGAAAATCGGCTATTTGTCTGAACACTGAGGAGATTAATGTATGAAAAGACCTAATGGCAGCAAAATCCAAATTTTCAGTTCAACAACGCCCACGGAATGGATCGGTGGCTAAGGGCGCTAGGTTGGCTGACTCATCGGTTCGACCCCTTCCCATACGGATAAATGGGGGAGAGACCACAAACCACAAGTATAGAGCAAAAAATTAGAGTGTTCTTTGATACTGAACCGAAGACACGGCGTAACCCAGAGATGTTGATCGTATTATCTTACTTAAGTGCATTATTACACTATCTTGACCGGGTGCTAATCTTTTTGCCAAAGATCAGCTCTCAATCTACGCACCATCGATCTGGATAATCCAGCAGCGGCAGAATCCGAGAGACTTCTAACATTGAGGAGATGGTGCAGCAAGAAGGGATACTCACACCTGAAACAAGTTCTGGATCGGAGCCCACCCTGAGCACACAAGCTTCCCTCCAACTAATTTGGCCCATGGGTTTTAAATCGATCTAGAAGGACGGAAAGACCGACTCAAATGTGCTGGCTTTCTCCCTCCTAGTGACATAAGCATTCAAATGTCTTTACAATAAAGAATGGCAACAGATAACGTGGCGCGTCCAGAATTACGGGGTAGCCGGGATCAGCGACGTCTCAGCGGGACGACTGGATGGGAATAATTGGCGATTGGATTTTTCGCAGCGATCAATCAATGATTGATAAATAATTTCTCACATGCAGGCAACCCTGCTCATAAACCACGCAAAATTACTGTCGGAAGCAGATGTTCCAGCCTGGATGCAGCCAAAAATTGCTGGAACAGAATCTCTAGCCAGCAAAGACAGCATATGGAGAAGTACCAGAATAGATCGATGCTCGGCTGTGCTCTTGGTTCAATAGAACACCGATTTCATGCACTGGACAGTAGAAGTTCTAGGCGTACTTCAATGGAGGAAGGCGTCCCTTAATGTTCGAGTAGGATCGTAGACTGTAACGGATCCCGTGGAGAAAATGGGCAGAATCCATGGATAGAGATGGTCAGTGAAGAAATCAAATGAGACACGGGCAGTGCAGGATGCAGCCGGCAGCAGTGCCGCCGTTGACGGCGTCAGCATCGTCTAACTGCCTGACGAATAGCTCTAGAGACCCCCATTCGTATCGATTCAGAAACATCGACGCCAACGCACGTATTCGGGGTGGTGCGGTTCAAAGACGAAGAATCTCGAACGACAACATCATTACAGAAGAAAGCGATGATGATGACTGAACGAAATGTTCATGAATGATCGATGATTGCCCTGGGACGAGTCTGAGCCATGCACCCATTGACTGTTGTACGACGTAAACGAGATTCGATAGAGTTCGGGCAATGTCTACCGGTGCGTACTGATGTTTTTGTTATGATCCCATCTTCAATTCATATTAGCAACCAGTCAGTCAAGGCTGGCAGTCAAGGCTGACTGGGAGCTATGATTGCTTTCCTTTCATGACCACATTGCATAACAGTCTCACGATTCCAATAGGCCGGTTTACACACGCACTTGTCACATTTCCTTTAGAAAAGTCGTTTTCCATATATGGAAATCGCCTTTTTTTCCTGTCTTTCTCCCAGGAATCAAGACTTTCTTTGAGTAATGCGATTGAAAAAAAAACAAGATTCATTTTAAAACTAATTGAAAGTCAAGGAAAGTATCGGGCCAGTAGAGGAAAATGGTGTGACGGGTCGATTAAAAAGTAATTTTTACTACTATCAAAATATATATAAATATTAAACGAATATGCAAAGATTTTCCCATGAATATACAACAATAAACATAGGGATATGATAATCGATAATTAAATAATCATAGATATAGTAAAAATAATATGATATTACTCAGTAATATGTATTATAAAGTATAGTTAACTCATTATTTGACGAAGGAATACTGATACTTCATTTTGCCCCAAATTTTTAACATAACACTTTGGCGTACTTTTTCATTTACAGTAATCCATAACTCTTCAGAGAATCTTGAAGACCTATGAATTACAGCATATTAGAAGTAATCATACTGTGTTATCTGTAACAGTTAATAATATGTGATATTCAAATGTAAAGATCAAAGGATAGAGTTTTAAGTGCTAATCAATCCAGTCTGAAGGGTGCGCCACAGCATTCGACGTCCACTCGGAATCGTAGAGGAGGTTTGAATGTGCATGTGGCCTATACAATGACTTGCGGTGGCCAGCCGATGTTCAAGCCCAGGTTTTTATCCTCCCATAGTCTGATGTCAAGTCTGGTGTCAACTGACCAAACCCGGAGGAGTGGACGGCCTAGTTAGCCCACGCGAGTAGGTGTCGTCCCGCGGTTCGATCCAGGGTCCATGCGTGCACGGTTGTGCATACTAGCCACTATGCCACCTCCGTGCAGATACCAGAAAATATGCAATAGCACGATGTGCAATAAAAATACAAATAATGTTGAATCGCTTGGGAGCTTTCATTCAAAATGTGGCCTGATTTTGTTTGCTTAATCCCATGTATATCGTGCAATAAACGCCAATATTGCTGTTATGTCGTCGTACCGATTAAAATAAATATTTGTATTGTTATGACGCAAAACATAGTGGAAATCAATAACCAGTCAATCTCCGCCCACAACATGAACCACTTGTTTGTCCAAAAGGACAACTGGGAAAGCAAGCCTATAAGTGACTTTGAAGGCGTGCTCCAATTTTAGCCTCCCCAAACTTCTTCGCTTCATATACTGGGAAGCAAGTCTATAAGTAACTTTGAA